AATCACTTTCTAATTTATGTACTCGATGATACATATTTGATAAATGTTTTTTTAAATATTTTTCATTTATATTTGAATTATTGTCTTCTTCGGATGATATTGATGATAATTGAAGACAATTATTTCGAATATGAACATCAAAGTCACCACGATATAACACATGTTTACATATATTACATTGAATCTATGTATGAGAAAAAAAAATTAATTCAGCAGTTATGATAAGTTTTTCTAATGAGTCGAAATTAAGACAATTGATTCTATTACATTCATTAAAAGTATTTTCAGAAACATGTATCATGTTAATCAAAAATATATTTGCACGACACTGTTGACACTCATTAAACGAGATTAAGTAATTTTAAAACTTATACAACTTGTAAAGTTTCTAGATAACAAAACAGTATTAGAATATGAGACAGAAATAATATCTTCTAATGATGTTTGAATTTCCTAAAGCTAGCCTGATCTCTTAACTTATTGATGAGAGGGTATTGGATTTTTACAGTATGTTTTTAAGTTAATGCTAATGTTCTGTCTTTTAAGAGATTAGAAAAACTAAGATTCAAAGTTCGACGTAACGATTTTCATAGAGATAAGCCATGATGAAAGTAGTTTATAGTAAAAGTTAAAGAATTTTTTAATGAGATAAGATCAAAATTTGAGTATTCTCGAACTCATTTTTGCGATTTCTTTTTATTAAATAATAATTTATTGAAATTAAACAAAATTAATCTAGTTATCTAAAGAAAGACTGAATAATTTCATTCGCATCAAAGATGATTATTTTATTTTTGTAAATTTTGATCTGTGATTCTTTTGATATATATACTTAATCCTATATATATTCTTACTTGAATTTTATCAAGTGCATTTTTTATAATATCATTTGTCCTTATAAGATCATTGAATTCTATGATCATTGTTTGACAACATGGACAATGTGCTAATTTTTTTATACAACGATTACAAAATGAGTTTCCACATAAAACATATGTCTGCGGATCAATTAAAGGATTCAAACATATCGAACATATTAGCGATTGTGAAATCTTGTCTTTATTGATATATATATATAATTACTAGTTAAAGCATTGATACTGCTGTTCAAAGTAGTATGATACGTCATTCGTTATTGATTATTTAATATCGATGAGATTATTATCTAAAAAACATTGATTTCATTAAAAGAAAAAAGAAGATATTATTTTTCTTTTTTAATATTTTTATTTCAGATTATTTGACGTAAACTACGATATATTGATACAACACAAGTAATATCAATCCATATGTATAAAAATATATCGCTTGGTAAGCCTTTTTTAAAATGAAGATTTAACCATATCGATGCAATTATAGTAAATAATTTACATATGAAAAAAAATAACCGATACGCAAGACCATGATGTGTTCCGATGCCATAAACGTATATTGAATAACTTCCAAATAGAAGTATTGTCATATTAGATATAAAATTAATATATTCAAGTATTTGACATTGTTCATCATATGATAAGCATAATTTTCCAGAAATATTTTTTCTTGTTAATAATATTTTATTTGATGGATCAACAAAAGATGATCGATTAAATATAATACTTTGATTTCTTAAATCTGCTAATTCGTGCTTCATTTTAGTCATTTCTTTATTTAAATGAACAACATCTGATAAACAAAGTAAAATATAGTACTATAAAAACCGGTATGACACCCAAGACAATTGATGCAATATTAGTTTCATCCATCAAAATAAATAAAAAACAATAATGCCTAAAAGGAAAACAAGACACATTTTTATTGATTATAATTTTTTGATTCGTTTTATAACCATGCAAGAATGAAGAAAATAAAGCATAATAAACTCAATTGTGAGCAACAAATTGTATCATGGATCTCATTGATTATTTTACTGAAATAGTAAAAAAAATTGCTGTTCTTTGCGTTTAATTTAATATAGATGTGTAGAGAGTAAAAGATCTATTGAGTAAAGTCGTAATTTAGATATGTACTTCATATGTTGTTCTGTTCTTGTATATGACTGGTCAACCAATTCGACCAATGAAATAAGAAAAGATTGTGCTAGTGGTATCTATAAGCAATTATTCTCTAGAAAATTTGAGTTTTGGTAAAGAAAGAAGAGGTGCATTGATTTTTTTGGACATTAGTGAACAAAAAAAACTGTAAAACGCTAAAATTTCTGAGCAAAAAAATGAAAATTATTCAAGATTCATAGTCATCCCATCGATTGAATCTCGCTTATGATGACACAGCTAGAATTAATAATAAAAATACACTGAAGTAATTCACTGTAACGGTTTCTTCATTTGATAATTTGCTTCATGAAAACATTTAAAGTATTATTAATTCTTTCTCATCAGTTAATATATTCTTTCACTCTTATTTATCAAGACATCGATGTTTAGAAATGTTTGATTCAAATAGTGAATATTATATGATTAATATGCATACTCTTTGAGTTTTTATGAGACGAATAATACATGGGGCTTTAACCAATATCAATGATTATTCTATGGACACTAGAAAATGATTATTACTTAGTGAACTACAAGAATACGTTCAAACAATATATTGTTAAATACAATGATAAACACACAAAAACTCACCTCTTAATTTGATACTAACAGTAGAAATATATATGCCTAAAGATTGCAATATTTGATTGAAAATTCAACACTAATAAAAATCAATCAAACTTGCTATTTATCATCTTCTTCTTTATTTTGCATATCTACACGAGTATCATAGAACTATTGAATCAACTTCTATACTGAGTTGTATGTTATAACGATGGTATAGTCGGCTTGAACATAACCTTATTAACTTTGATGACATTTATTGAATAGTTGCATATTGATTTGAATCACTTCTAAAAACTTCATTTTTACTTGATAATTTCTTTAGTTTTAGTGAAATTTTACTCATCCAAATTTAAAATTAACAATATTAGTCAAGTTTTATCTTTTAATAAACAAATAAACTTTGATTATTAATAGAAAATGATTATTTTTTAAATTATTGACCTAATATTTCTATAAAAATTTATTATAAGCGATGAACAAACTCAACTGAAAATCAACTAATACTCTGATACAGTATATTGAATGTGTGGTTGTAAGTGTTAGTTTTCTATTCATTAGTACATTTAAATCGACAATCATATATTCATCATCATGTGACTTGGCTATAATTTGTTCATTGACTTCGGAGACTATCGATAAATATTTAATATTTATCTTTCGGTGAATGTATAATTGACATACTATTCGATGGTGTGGGTGTGGGTGTGGGCATGTGGGTGTGGGTGTTTTTTTCTCCGCATCCACACCCACACCCACACCCACACCCTAAAAAACAAAGTGAATATACCTTTTCACTTTTTGAAGTACACATAACACTCGGATTTAAATCCGATGTTTTCGCATTTATTTCAATAATTTTTCACGTTCTTCCAAAAAGATCAACTGTTGTTTAAATTTAGGTATAATTTGTGATATTCGTTCGATACTGTTCATCATTTTAAGCATTAAACCATCAACATCGTGTTCTGAAAGATATATAAAATAGTTACGTTTCAGTAAAATGATACTAATGAAAAACTTTTTATTCGAAAAAGTCAAGTTGACAAATTCAGAAAGCTAGAATAAACATTCTTTTTTCTATCATATAAAAGAAAACATTCACGTGAGAATAATCTCATAACTATTTTAAATATATAATGTTTCAAAAGATATGACCACAATAAAATCATACAATTTCATGACTGATGAATCTTCTTCAATTTTTTCGCTATTCTCAAAGGAAAAACTTTTAACACATTTTTTATGCTAATTTCATACGCAAGTTACAAAATAAAAATATAATCTCTAATTAAAAGATTAAACTTGATATCATTCACCACGTTTTAACAGCACATTTATCTCCAATATTGCTATTAACTGATATCTTACAGTAACATATACCATATCAATATAAATTGAAAAAGATTAATCGAATTGAAAAAATGAAATTATAAGAAAATTTTTATAAAAATGAGCTTCTGAAACTTTATATATTCATTAGTCATTGATGCAACGTGAGACGAGTAATAAATGAAACAAAACTCAAGTTGTTCACTACATAAATATCTAAGCCTTTATAATAATATATCAGTTCGTATGGATCAATCATAGAGTAATGACCAATTGACTGTATTTCCCATGCAAATAATTTGTCGTCATATGATATTGTATTAAGAATATCAACCAATAACCACCATTTCTCTTTCATTTTGAGAATAAAAACAACTTGAGCAAATATTGGTTGCTCATGAGAAGGTTTTAAGTCGATGACATATACAGCTGACCGACAATATTCAATGTTTTCATGAATCAATTTATTGCATTGACATAAATCTTTATCAAGATCTGTATGACCAAAATGATTCAATAACACAGTTTTCATTCGCATATTAAAACATGTACTTCGAATTCTTTTTATTCCCCCTGGGTACTGCAAAATTTTTAACCGATATAAGTGAGCAAATTTGAAGCATTGTTTGAGACGATAGCGTGTTGCGAGCATCTTCGGAATGTTTTTAAAATTATTCATTCTCATTGTGAGTTTCTTAAAATATGCATGACATGCTTCATACCTAAAACACCATTGTCTGGTTGATGGACCAAAATCATGTATTATTTGTTCATATTCACGAACAAAATGAGCTTTTGGAACAATTTTATTCGGAAAGTTAGTCAGCATTGTTTGATGAAATGTGTGGCATAGATCTCCAAGTACAGGTAGCCATTTGTTTCGAAACGGATATGATAAAACAAGATCTAAGATTTCACGTAAAATTTTGTAAACAATAAATGACGGTAAGTGATCAATTATATCATGAAAAATAATTGGAAACAGTTTGAAAATGCATAGTTTTTGAGCAGCTGTGGCAACAATTCTATTATCTTGAAGATGTTTTACGAGTATAGGTGGTGGTCGATTGCTGGTGTCAAAATATCCATATTTGAAATTTTCCATTCGTTCTTGAATACGCGCTTGAAAGACGAGAGAAAAAAGAGATCAGTGTGTTATAGTACTCGAAAATCATTGATTTAGAAATATCAAACTGTGTTTAACTGTGATTTCTATACAAAAATTTACAATTGTTAAGAAAGTGAATCAATTTTAATCAATTATAGCTGTCCTTGTTTAAATATATTCTCTTTAGCTTTACTGATTGAAAATAGCTTTTAAAGAATTGATTAAGTTGGCATTGGTTTCTGAATATTTGGCGATCTCGGTAAGATAAGAGACTATAATCACACGAAAAAGAAAGACAAGTAAATTCTATAAGAACTTTTTCATTGCATCAAAAAGTGATATACTTATCTATCTAAACATTTACTGTCCTTAATCGCAGTAATTCATTAAAACCGAAAACAAATGGAGAAAAGGTTTTAGAGAAATTACACTTAGACTATTTCTATATGTTTTTCACTGAACTATATAAAAGTACGACAAGTAGTCACAGAAAAATAATTAAAATTGATTCATGTTCAACAATGTATAACTCAGTTGGCTATTGTCATTCTTCTCTATAAAAATAGTTATCTATTTGAGAAAAAAATATAAAAAGTATAAAGATCAAATTAATTTTAAACTAGCGTTGAAAAAATCTATGACAATTTTGTATGATAGATAATCACACGGTAACTGCAAATAAAGAATTATTTCTCACCATATGTTATAAGACGCAGTGATGAAGCTTGTTTCAGTAGGGACATTACAATCATCGGACATATTCCTTCTATAAAATCATGCATGAGATCAGCAGGTAAAGATATTATTGGATGAAAACCGATAAGATCGTGCAGTGGACTTCGACCAACCACACCCATCAAGGATGACTTATTAGGATCATTGATAATCTCTTGAACTAGATTTTCGTGATCAACCATCGTTCGACTCTTGATTTGTGACAATGGAATTGGTGAATTCTTGTCCTCATATCTGATGTAGCATCTTCGACAAAAATATCCATTACTAAAACATGATTGAAAACCACCAACGAGATGAGATGCAAGATTGTCTGCAACGAGAGTTGAAAATGAAAATTTAAGATGAGTACCATTGATAACAAGTCCATAAAGTTGCAATTGATTTAAATTATTAATAATCGGCTGGAAGAAACGTTTCGCCTTGACGTTGTCCTCGAAAAATAGAAAATATAAGATATTGCGAGTTTATTATGATATGATGTCAATTCTTAAACGAAATGAACCAAGTTAAAATCTTATCCAACGTATATTAAATAGATAAAAGCAACGAAATTTATTGTATTGAACTGAAATAAATCAATATGATTTATTCGAAGAAATTCATTGTTTTGTCTCAAAACAACTGAAAATTTTCTTATTAGCAGCACCGTATGTCATTGTTTTTATTTGTCGTAAGAGTATTTATCTTTAGAATTTTACTTTCACAAATTCCAACTAATTGAATAAAATCAATTTTTGATCGATATTGCTCTGGAATATCTTCAAGCGAAAAATAAATCATACACATTTTATGTTGATTACGTTTTGATCCAAGAGGATTTGTCAATCCAATGTCATCTAGGTATAGTTGTAGTAATAGATTATCATGATCTAATCTACTACCATGGTATCCATCTCTTATTGAGAACATAAGATCAGCATCGTATTTTGTTGCTATTCGTTGTTGTTGAATATTTTTCAGAATTTCTAGAACAAATGGTTGAGAATCTAATATTGAGAATAATGTTTTATCAATTGGAATAAAGTAACCACATTCTAAAACTTCACCAGTAGATAATACAGTTATTTCTCCAGGTAAGCTATAACTGAAATATGTTTCATAGTGTTTAATGAATTGATATTCATTTTTGGTTATGGATTCGATAGCATCGCATATATTATTGAGTGTATGTTTTAATTGATCGAATTCGATAGTTTTTTTATTTTGTTCACGAGAAGACAATGATGTAGATGAGCAATTATCTTCAGAATAATAAAAAGTTTTTTTTTCTGATAAAACTGGTATATGCTGTATTAATGTTATAATAAAAGTAGAAATAATATTCATGACACTTTTCGGTGTGGGTGTGGGTGTGGATGCGAATAAAAAAAAGAACTCCACCGACACCCATACCCACACCCCACACCCACACCCACACCCACACCCACACCCTATCTACACGCACATTCATATTCAAACCAATTATTATTTTCTATGTCCTTTTTGCAGAACTGCAAATCTCGTGCACTGGAGTTTTGTCATTAAAAACGAAATTTAAATTTTGAAAAAGCTGTATGAAAGCACTTTATCAATGTTTGAGTAATTCTTTTCATATTTAAGTGCTTTTAATAAACGAAGAGGTACTGAATAATGCATTTTTATGATCGAAATCGAAAAAAAATTTGTCAACCAATTTGACCCGTTACGACCGGGTGTTGCCAAATGGCAACATGTAACCATTGGATACAAAAATTTTTTTTTTACTCTGAATATATATTTTGGTATCACTATGATAGAGCAACAAAAAATCTGCAAGACAATATTTTCTTACTGTCTGCCTTGCGGGAGCCGGCTGGAAAGGGTTAAACAAATAGTTATTTCAATGATCATATCTTGGTTATTTGTTTCAGAAAAGTTTCTCTTCTCAAAATGAATAATTTGAGATGCATCAAGAGCATATTTCTTGATCAACTTACACCCATTTGATGTTATTGTCGATAGTTTATTGAATAGAATAATAAAATATAAACAAAAGAAACAAGATTAAAATCATTTAGAATTTTATTTTAGTATAACATTTTCGAATCTATCAAAGAAAATGACAAAAATAAACAGCTATATTAATTTTATTGTCTAATGAACTAGCTATCAATATATCACAATATGAATAACATTGATAGGAATATTGTGTTTTTATTAATATTTATTGACAATGGAAAGCAAATAAAAAGAGACATTGAAAAGCGAATTGTATGAGAGAATGATTAGCAAAAGCTGATGATAGAAGGTTAATAGAAAAGATTATTTTTAGCTTAACAAAGCAAAAAATATTTGGAAGAAGCATTTATTTCAATGATAAAGAATCAGAATTGCCATTCGACTGTGAGAAAAGTTGATAAATGTTACGTATAGATTCAAGAAACAGTGTCACTTTCTATACAGCAGTAAACCGAACAGGATCTGGGCCAGATGCAAGGATTGAAAATCTTCCTTCTGTATTGCCCTCATATGTAGTTGCAACCAAAGTGTACCTTGCGGTAGTACTAATTACGAGGATCAAAAGAAATTGTGAATTGTCTGCATCGTCATCATTTTCTAGTATTATATTTGAAGCTGGAGCAGAAGGGTTGAAACTATTATTGTATATATACCCATATGTATCCATGCTACTATTACATATAATAAAGTAGAAGCCAGTTACAGTGACGTTAATACGAAAAGCTTGATAGTAGAAGTTTGCTGCTGTACAGTTATCACCACGACAAAATGTTGGGCTAGAGCTATTCAACGCTGATGAGTACTGCGAGGTTACATTCCTTACAGTAGTACCATTGAAAACTAATCAAAGAAAAACAAAAAGATCGATCTTAATTCAACTTCGTAGCGTCACTCTATGAGAATATATAGAAATTGAAAAGAACCATTTAGATAGAATTTTTTTATAATTAAATAGGAAATATATAGGACATTAGTCTTCATTAAGGATCATGTTCAAATACCCAATGAACTCTGTAAAAGTGTGACAAATTGTAGGCTATTGTTTTCTCCATGCTAACCCATGCAATATAAATGGAAAAAATTGCGTCGTGCTGTCAAAAAAAAGAAAGTAAACAATGTATTTTTTGAAGAAACGAAAAGTACTTTTTTAAATTAATTTTCCAATAGTGCCACATATACACATTCATATCGTTATTAAAAAGTTCAAATTGATCAAACAGGATAAGAAAATAATTCTTTTTTTGGATCTGTTTATATAAATCATGTCGTCTCATTTCTGTTATAGTATTAGACTTCTGTTAAAGTAAATAATCGAAATGTGTACAATTACAGAAAGTTGTTACGAGGACTCCAGCGAGATTCAAGTGTGAAAAGAGGTGTGGTTGCTGTCATTATACGGAAGATATTGATCAACATGTGCTTTAGTCTATTGATCAGTACTTATTATAAATCAGTGTGAAGGATTAAATCTGGTGTTCCTAAAATAGTTCAGTGATTATGAAAGAAAGATAAAGAATAACTTCGTACCTACGATTGGGTTTTACGATAATTCTGAAATAGACATTTGTCTCGTAGATGTGCCTGGCATAATCTACGAGGACTAAGCAGTCACAGGAAAATAACTGCCACAGTATAAGAAAAAGAAGACGTGCTACTCGAATTGTTCTCAAGTTTTATGATTAACAAGGATCGGATATTACTCCGATATATTTCAGTCTGCTATGTATCATGTTCATCGTAACTGTCATTTCGATGGAAAGGGAGCACTATAGAGAATTATGCGATAAAAGTTTTTTTCTTGAGCTTATATTTTGTCTTTTTAAATGATGTATAACTAGGTTGAATGTTATCTCATATGATAGCGCATTAAATACGATACAGAATGAAGAATGACTTTCTATCAAAAATACTTTAAATTGTTTTCTCATTTGATCTCTGCTATATGTTCCTTAAGAAAAGGTAGGGTTTAAATTTTCATTTGTATACATTAACATCTTTATAGATTACATTTTATAAAAAGAGGATCACTGATTTGCTGCAAGAGTCATCATAAAATTAACAAAAAGGTAATTAAATTACATTCCTTTCATCACCTTATGAAAATTAGAAAATGAGTAACATTCGTATGTAGAATCACTTTCATCCGTGCATTGTGTTAGAGACACCAACGATAATATTGACATCAAAGCGTAAGTTAACTTTTTCTGAGACATGTGACAATTTTCGTCAAAATTTTCTTTTGTTTCGAAAAATAGGAACATACAAAATAGTTCTTGAAAAATAGAACATTATAGAAGGAATTTAAAACTACAAACATTGTAGAAAATATAGAGCGGCCACAATGTTACATTTTGACAACGAAAATAAGAAACGAAGCTTGAGAAGTAGAGGTTCGAATTTTTTAGTGTGGTCTCCTAGCAGTTAATGTGTTCATTGATTTATTCACTATGTTGATCGTCATGATTTTAATTAGAAAGAGCAGAACGTACGTATAATGCACAGAGTTTGAAATATTGAGCTTGTATGTAAAGAAAATTTTAATGCGTTATGGAAGTAGGAGTTTTTAGATGAAATAAAAAATGATTTTTGTGAGATATTTACATTTTGATTATTGAGCAAAAAATATAAAAGAGTTAAAATGCTACTTTCAAGGAATTAACAAGGAATACATATTATTACGACAAAATACCAAAAACAACAAACTTTAAATAATCATTCGAACTGATAAGGAAGTGATATTTTCGGAGCAGTGACCGTCAGCAGCTCAGGAATGTCCTAGTAAATTATATATTACGCATCATGTTATAAATGTTTTCTTAATTAAAATCTTTTATCTTTTGTACAATTACATTTTCTTTATAAACAGTAATTAGAAATCATTTACTAAATCAAAACATGAATCTTTGATATCAGTTGTCATGTCAGTGTAATTCTACCAGCTAGTGATGATTTTCATGTTTACATTGAGTTCATAGAACTTGCATATATGATATTCATTCTAATTCATCATGTTCAATGTGATCTATTTCTATTCCAAGAAGATTGAACACCTATCATCGCATCATAAAGAAGTAAAGTAAATAATTAAAAAAGTGAATCGCAATCCAATGCTAAATAGGGATGAAAAACTTTGAAACAATCAAATGATGATATTCAGTCACAAAGAATCACTAGCTTTATTGACAGATATATTGTTATTGTATTAATATACTAGTAGAGTCATGCACCCATGTTCAAAAAAGGCAAGATCTTAAATCAACAAGCATAATGTCTTCACCAAGAATGCATTGAAATGACACTATTTTTACTCGATTCTAATCTGATTTTCACTCGTCAACTTGATTTTTTTTTATTATCAAGCGTTTTTTCTTAAATTTTTTTCTAATAGATTAAAAAGACCTGTCGATTTTTATTAATTAAAATTTGTTAATGACTTTCACTCGAAAAATAGTTTGAAAAAATCCTAAAAATTCGAAAATAAAAAAATATAGGTTGAAAATCGGATTCTAATTGATGAAAAATTGTACAATTTCAATTAATTTTGAGCGGGATTCATGATTGTTATTATACATGGATAGTATTCTTTTGAAATGATATTAAAAAGGTATGAGCCCTAAATTCAAATAAGAACAACATTTTTTATTCCCTTTTCTGAAAGAAAGGGTTATACGGCTGTAAATATCTTTAACCTTTGTCTGTCTCTCTATCTGTTTGTCCTAACCAATCAGAAAATAGCAATGGTTCGACCGATAAGACTAGTCTTTAATGTTCCGTAAAAATCTTCATGAAAAGTTTTGGGGTCTGGGATCTTCATGGCATCATTAGCTTTGGATGATTTTTCAAAAAAGTTTCAGAACAAAACTACATTTATTTCACAATGAAGTATCATTCTTTCAGGAAAGGATTAGCGAATCTGTAGGATGAGTGCTACTTGTAAGCCTAACAACCCATTTCATAGTCGACCTCAGTTTATTTGTCCCGAAAGCAGGGCAGGACAGGTCGAAAACAAAAATACCCTGTGACGGTCTCTGTTTCGAAGTATCACTCCTGACAAGTAGTAACAAAGACCTTAATGACATATATACCTCACAACGAACATTTTTGCCTCAACTCAAATAAATTATTTTACAACAAAACATTTAATGATCTCTGTAACTGTACAGATTCATCTTGCAACAATTATTTCGATTGCTCAAGGAAGTTCTCTGAAATAAATTGAGTTCTTACTTGATGAACTCATTGGAGAAAATATAACCGGTGCTATACCAGTTGCAACAATGGAAAATGGTCCTGCTAAATATGGATCATGTGTTGTTACAACCACAATGTATCGTGTCGGAGCTTGAAGATACATCGAGATCAGGAAATTTTTACTGGTAGGGCTATCATCATTCAGTGCCAAGAGATTCGTACTTATAGAACCAGAATCAAAAGTATTGTTGTATAAAAAACCATATGTGTCCATGTTACTGTAAGTTTCGATGGCATAATTTCCACTCATGGAAACATTCACTCGGAAGGCTTGATAAGAATAGATTGGTCCTGGACAGAAGGGTATACGGCAATATCTTTGACCCATGAAAACGAAGGCTGATGCATAAATCGATTGTACCGTTGAGGAAGTAACCACTGAAAGAACAAAATGCAATCAAACTTTATGTGCAAGTTTTAAGTGTTCGATTTTCCGTCGCTGGCAGTTCTTTATTAGATTCCAGAGGTAAAGGAAAATTAGGAAGTCAATAACAGTAAAAAGTAAGATTGTGATGTTTGGGAAACGATAATATTCTCTTTGTAGCCTTCAAAGTTTCGGACTTGTCCATTCCAAGTCTTTATAATCCCTCAAGGTACCGCGACTTATAAGACTAAAAACATTAACAACAGTATGGGTATCGATGAAAATGTCATCTGTATGAAAGGAAAAGAAGACGAATAGACTTTTGAAAACTATTCCGGAATATATGAATACTTTTAGTTTTTATTTCGTTTCATAGAGGGTATTCTAGATTAAACGAAACTCAGCTAAGCATTTTATGGTATGTACTTGAAAGTACTTGTTAAGAATCAAGTGAGGCATCATCATCTTATAATTAGATAGAAAATTTGATTATAACATAATCGTGTGACGCGTGATACTGGCTGTCGTAAATCGATTACTTACAAAGTAAGGTTTCCAACTGATTCCACCGTTCTAATTGCTATTTTATTTATATGCAGAGTGTATTTATCTAAGAAAACATCTAACATGGTTGGGTTCAGGGAACTGCTTTCAAGCTTTATCGTCATTGAGTTAACTTTTCGGCTTTATACAAGATAATAACGGAGAAAATAGACAGTAGAATTGTAATATAAACTATTTTGCTCATATAAATTCGTTTACCAATATTCCATTGCTTATAAAGTGCCAATAGAAAGAAAAGTATTCTGCTTCATATGTTGAACTTCGCAGGAGTTGAAACATTTTTGTACTTTATCTTCTAATAAGTCAGGTACTTATACTTGAGTAGATTTTTACTTGAAACCTTGTTTCTTGATTTTCCTATAATTATCTCCCACTAGGCCAAAAGAGAAAACAATGGATTGTGAAGAAGAATACCCCGCCTTTCGGCTACCTTGCGGTATAGGGTGCTGTCAGAGGACAGTTTCGAGAAGCCCGATATTTTTCTACATCTATTACTAAATGTAGCTCTGGACAGAAGTCCGGCCTGACTCAGAGTTCTTCTCGCTTAATCTCTTAAGCTCCCCATACATACTGACTAACCACATACTAGTCACAAGGACCATTTAGTGTATTTCAACAACGTAGTCAATTTGTTGTTGAATGGGTGGTCCGAGACAAAACAGCCGTTAGTGACTTGTTCAAGGTCATTCTACGACTAGTGGATCCGAGGTTCGAACACAATATCTTATGGATATGTGTCGAACAACTTAACCATTCAGTCATAGTGGCAGGGATTGTGATCTTTCAAAGAATTTCGATCATCCCAAAATCTTCTTTGATATTCTTTTAGATTAATGCTGCCAACATATAGATGAAATATTATTGAAAAGCTTGTTAGCATAACTCCTGTGGAGCTGAAATGTGGAACTTACGTATACACTTGAACTTCTTTATACTAATATGATAAGTATAGATAGTATAAAATCACGAATTTTTAAATTTTCTGACAGGCGCCCTTATCTTTCGTCTTCTTTGTTGCAAGTCGGTCAATAGTTTTTATTGTTAACAATCCTTTTTTTTAAATTTTACATTTTTCTTACAAGAAGCATTGAAGTATGCGGCGAATGAAACTATTATATATACATATATATATATGTATATGGATGCTCATTATGTTAAACGTGGTCGCTAAGGTCTGTCATGGGGCCTATNTTGTCGTTTGAATATCTCAGCAAGAGAACAGTTTCAGAAGCTGACATTTTTGGCGTTTTCATATCTCACTTGGGGTTATATGCATGCAAAATTTCATTGAAATCTGTAATATTAATCAAGCAGCGCTGGTTATCGCTATTGTGAAATGATTCCTCGGTAGAAAAAAAAAACTTTTGAAGAAAATTGATCTGTTCCAAATCTCACCATGAGTCGATTTACATGCAAAAGAGAAAAAGTAGAAAAAAATGAACTTCGGCTTTTTATGACAATTTGTTCGCTTTGTCACTGATCAGAAGGCACTTCTTCAGAATATGTTTAGCTTAATAAAACAGTAATTGATAAAAAAATTGAGAGAAGGAAAGATGGAAACAAATTTTCTTTTTAGTAATCAATAGTTGATGAAGTTGACTTGAAAACGTATTATTCCAGTTTTGGAACTGCTTACGTGATTTTGATTTAGCGGTCGATCTAGAAATGCTCACTCGATTGATTGATAGATATGAAAAGATTAAGTTCTATCTCGTCTCTCATTTTCAAATCTCTCTATGGTACTTCTCTTAATTCAAATCATTTATAGTGGCCCAATGATGATGATTGTTGGAGTCTTCTCGAACATATTCTTGTCTTTCAAAAGTTGAACTGTCTAAATGTGAATATAAAATATTTCAATTGAGGTTTTAGATCTTCTATGAACTGATTGAACTAATCTTGATCTCGATCAATTTATCACAACGACAACAATGAACAGTAAGTGACTTCAAATTTGATGGATCCATTAATGAATGGATTCATTTAACGGGATTGTTTTACACTAAATACTTCTTCATAAGTTCATTAACGAGTTGTTGAAAAATTATCTATTTTCAACGTGTTCTCAATGCAATGCAAATGTGATCTCCTTCTTTATCTTTCATAACCCATAATAGAGATATCACAAAGATTGAAAAAATTTTGATTACTGGGAGAATATGTACTCCCTACATCATTCCCATTAAAAGTGTGTTCTGTCTAGACATTAAGTAGAGAAAAACGATATTGGATCATTCCATGGTTTCCATTAGTTTTTATTTATCAACCTTAGTATTTCTCCGGTGATCGGATGCAAATAATTCAGAGTAGCTCAAAAATAATAATCATTGGAATTCTCTTGGAGATATTCGGATGGTGGAAACATCAAATTGAGACAAACTTCTATGAATGAATAAGGAATGTACCGATTTCGTTTCTCTATGGATATCATAGTCATCGAAGTTTTCAAGATATATCAGCATAAATGATATTTGTGATTGTTGAATCGTTGAATATTGATTACATTAATACGAGTTCCTGAGAGAATCGTGCAACGTAACCAGCATTCAACGATTGGGTATGACTGAAACGAAGATCCACAACTATACCACCCCACACCCACACCCTTTTGGTGTGACTTGAATACCTTTCATGGATTGATTTTAATGCGAAATATATCATTTTCACGAGTGAAAATCTTGAAAGCATATATGTTTTTATCTGTTTTACCATCATGTGTCGTCTTTTTATCATGATTATCGTTATTTCATGACCAAAATATATTAAAATTATGTCAAATACATATTTTCTTTGAATTTTTTTTATTTCTTGGGAAACTTTGAAATCCCCTTTCCTACCCACTGAACATAAACCAGCAAAACTACTTCACGAGATCGTCCACCGGACAGAGCCTAGCCAACTGAGCTCTCCACCAAAGAGTTTGATCATAATTAGCGGCCTCCATCACTGTCAAAATCCTGGTTCTACTACTGGATTTCCTCAAACTAGTGCGACTTGAAAAGGCTCATAAATCAAGCATAAACATGAAAATTTTGAAAAGAACATATTTGTGGAGATAAAAATGATGACCAACGTCGAGTGAATTACTTTATATTGATGGCATACCTGATTATTAATACAGAGGTATGAGGTTTTCCTCGATCGTATTAGCCTTCTTTTCTCCCATTCTAAATATCCATGAACTGTTTCTTCTCTGAATGATTGTTTAATCACGGCTTGAAATCAGTACATGAAATCCTACTGATGGATCGAGCACCTGTATCACGTCGTATAGTATCTGATATTATTTGATGAAAATCGAATGAAACGAAAAAATGTTCATGGGGAAAAGTAATCGGTTAAACGAGAACATTTATTTAAAAAAATAAAAAGCAGAGCGAAAATAAAAAAATAGTTGGACAAGTAAAATAGCAAAAACAAAACTTTTGATGAAACAAATAGAAAAATGTGAAGGTTTTCTAAAATCTACAAAACGAATGAAATCAACTTCGTAAGATCAATCGCTCGGACTCCAAAGATTCTGCCTCTCACAATTCATTTTCATGTGATTGTTGAACTACAGAGTCATCTAAGTGCGTGTCGTCGATTAAAATCACTTTCGACATGATACCATCAAGGCATAACAATGGTAAAATTTTTCTTCTGAACAATGCATTATGTCATCCTCATTGGTGATCGATTCTAACATGAGTATTGACAGAATTATACGAGAAACAAACGAAACATCAAATGACTTGGCGGTTGGTAAGCATGTTCTTGATTAACTTATTTTTTAATCTTTCTTTTAAAATAAAATATCTATTTAGATAAGAAAAGAAAGTATTCTCTATTAGCAATAAAAACAAATGAGTCAGAGAATTGTTTTTACATTTTAATTACGAACGGATGTAAAACACAATTTTGTGAAATGGTCCTGTCATACAATGATACTGATTTATCCAGTTCATATGCTCTCGCAACAAATTGACAATTATTATCTGGCCACCATCCAATACGAACGTCGTTTACAGCTGTATTGTAACAAAAATTTTCTCGAATGAGACATTTTAGTGCTTGTAAATCAAGATAAACATACAGTTTCGCATCTTGATTATTGTAAGCAACACATATTTGATGGAAAGCCCCATTATAGAGTGTGTTCTGATTAATAGGAATGTGAAGATTGTCATACAAACTATACATTTCAGACATATTCACATGTTTAGAATTTTCAATAGCTAATGAGAATTGCTTATTGCAACCTCTGCTGCATTCCACGTTATTTCTAATGAACCAATTGAAACAAGAATTTTATCATCATTTACAGCATCGACCTGACGTAATGCATAAATACTACGACTGGCATCACCATTAATACGTGTATTGCCATTTGAATATGTGAAAGAATAGAATTTTTGTTCTACATAATGAAATAGAAAACTTCAGTGTGAATATGAAGTGAAACTACGTCTCAAAAGTGAACATGACGATTATCAAGAATAAGAGGAAGTAATTAACAACTAAAATTTTTAGAAAAAATATCATTATGTCAGACTATCAGTCAATCAAATGAATATGCTTATTATTTTTCTTTTTATTTCATGTAGCCTAAGTTTCTTAGGAGTCGAATCTACATTTTATTCTGTATCAAATGAATCATTTTTGATGAATTCCTAAGCTGATCAAAACCATAAAGCTTAGACATTTTTTTTTTCGACAGTAAACGATGCTCATCTTCGTGATCGATGATGAACATTATCCATTTTCAGTACACATGTCAAAACTGTTACATGCAGCGTTTGGTGCGCAAATTTTTGTTCTACTCAATGTTGAGAATTCGTATCATGTTTGACAGTTGTTTCTAGTATTGCTACATAATGGGTGAAAACAATCAATTTATTACCTTACCTTGCATAATTTGGGTATTGACATGCATGAACACAAGTGAAATGTATGCTAGTTATATCTTATTATTAAGTGACAGAAAGAGGCAGATTGTGATTGTTTTATAGATGAATGGTACATCAGTTTCTTTTTTTCGTCAAGCATATTATATTGAATACCAACTATTCAAGATATATTGATATTATTTGCTTTTTTAACACACAATATTGCGTATTTTTAATAGTATCATATCTAAAGCACTGTGGAATAGATATTTTTGCTATTGGTAGTGAGTCTGACGATATCGCGCGACAGAAAATATGTTCTCGTGAATATGCTTAATATTAATATGTATATGTTCTCTCTACAAACTGATAGATACGGGATTAATGTGGCAATGACACATTGATTTGTATACTTTCAGTGAAGGCAATTAGGTAAATCTAACTCAAAGACACATTCATTTGTTGACAACTGATCTATCTAGGGGTTGTTTCTTGAAAATACTTATGAAAGTATGAAAATATGTTAAAGTTTCAAATCGTTGACAACACCGTCTTTCTGATTGCCTGCCTTATCTAGTTATTCAATGTTCTATTCTGTATTCACAGTTAATTTGTCAATTTTATTCAATAGATCCATAGTTGAATGTGTACAGTTGCGGCTGTTAGTGTAAACGCACTTAATTAATTCAGTTCTAAGCATCAAATATGTATATGATGTGAAATTTGAAATACAAACTGAATATCTTAAAGTCAGATCAAATGTCGAGGAAAAAACTAATCACGAAGCAATGGCAATCAAAGATGTGTATAGTTGGTGGTGAGGCCGACTCGTGACACTGAATCCAGAAGGCTTAAAAAAACTAAATCGACTCAACTGCTTTTCAGTAAATGTTTCAATAAAGAAATGCAATCGAATATGATCATACAAAAATCTAATCGCAAGAAAAAAAATTCAAAGTTGCATTGGAGCTTTTTTACTGACCTAGGATAACAGGTTAACAGGATTAAATATCCAGTGCTACGAAATTATCACAAGCACAGACTCTTCATTTGCTATAAAAATTCTCCTTCGCTCAACTTGCTCTCCGAGAAGTGCTTTGATGCGTCGATCTGTGTATCCAATGCCACTTGAAGTCTCACATATATTTTTCAATCAACATTATTTATAATTGCATAAAGATGTCGTAAATCTCCATACAATATAATAATGAATAAAACCTTTCTTTTTTCTTTTCTTCTCCTTTTTCTATCTCTCTTAGCCAACCTTTCATACATAGAGCTAATAAACTTCGATGTTAGAAAAAAAACAACATACCATATGCTGCATATGCTTAGCACAAACATAGTGATAGATAAACGCTCGCGTCACGTGTGAGTGCTCTCTCTAAATTGAGAGATACGTTATTTTCTTTGTTACTTTGTATTTATCACCGATGCATATTTTTTGATAAATAACAATCAACTGCGTCGATATCGCTTAATTTCTATTCGTGTATAGGATTTGAATGATTTGTTTCTGCAGAGGCTCATCAATGATGAATAGTGCTCGATCCAATCATTTTCTATTCAATGATAACATTTTTAACAAAGAACCCCACACATATTAGTTATCATCAGTAATCGTAGTCTTCTATACATTTAAATCGTCAAGAGCTGTTTTGGTAGTATTAACAACCTAGTGAGATACAGAGCTTCCATATTTGATATCAATAACTATTAGCGAAAGCGTACATAAAATGACACTTGAGACTCCAGATTCTCATTGCCACTTGGTTCAAATCATGCCAACTAAAAGTCATAGGAGTTCTATGATAATCAAATTATTGGAATCATCGTAAAATTGAAATATCATCATATTCACACTCACACTCCAATATGAACCGTTCCTCCTACTACAAAGATTATTATGGAACCCTTACTTTACATGCTGAATTTTTATATTTTCTCCAATATTAATCAACAATAAATTAGATAAATAAGAGACAAGAAGAAATAAGTATTTCTCACATTGGTTTTTGCTTTACATAAATATAAATATAAATGTAATAGATCATTTAACATTTGTTATCCAATTGAATTGAAGTAGGTAGACATGACTATTGAGCTAGTTTTGTATACAATTCTGTTTGTAATATATCTTTCTAGATATTAAACCAACAGCATTTTAGTTACCATGACAACGACAGATGCTCGAAGTTTTTATGATACAATTGAACTCATATCAATTAATGGAATTCAAAAATCGAAACAGAGAATCGATTATATAATTATTAAAGCATTTTTAGCTGGTGTTCTTCTATCATTTGGTGGTCTGCTTCTCTTGATTGTAGGTGGTGGCAGTGCTCCACTAGCTCAGAATTTTGGTCCTAGTATACACAGATTGATGCAAGGCACCGTATTTCCTATTGGTCTCGTTCTAATTGTTGTTACTGGTGCTGATTTATTTACTGGAAATACCATGATATTGATGATATCAACATTGCGAAAAAAAACAACATGGTTTGATCTTATCTTTTCATGGATAGTGTCATTTTTTGGAAATCTTGGCGGTTGTATATTTTTTCAGTGCATACTTGTTTACTATGCAGGTCTTCTTTCCAATGAACCTTATCGTTCATTTACTGTGCAACTCGCCGAGACAAAAGGTAACATTAAATGGCATGAAATATTCTTAAGAGGTATTGGTGGTAATTGGCTTGTATGTCTTGCATTATGGTTAGCTACAAGTGCACGTGAATTACATTCAAAAATAATCGGTATTTATCTACCTATCTGCCTTTTTATTGCTGTTGGATATGAACACTCTATTGCAAATATGTTTACAGTGCAAATGGGTATGATTCTTGGTGCTAATTTGTCCGTTGGAAAATATATTTTACGTGTATTGATACCAGTTACGTTTGGAAATATTATAGGTGGAGGAGTTTTTGTTGGTTTTGTGTATTGGTACCTTTATTTGGCGCAAAATCCCAACACTGATACTCAAATTAATGATGGACTCCTGACAAGTGATGTTTATCAAAACGTAAAACAGCCTAATGATTTAGATTCATCTCAACAATCGTAGTTTAGTTTATTATTATCATAAATTCTGAACAAAACTTGATGAAGTATTACTATTTTGTAAAAATATAAACTCCAATATGTATTAATAAAGCTCGAGTCAATTAGTTTTCTACTGTTGGTTCTTCCTTTTTATATAACAATGGAAATATCAGATTAACGGAGTTGACTTTCATCCTCAGCAAAATAATTTCAAGTTTTCAGTTTTTTTTTGCTATAGTGAAGCTTCAGTCTTGTGTACCTAATCATATGATAGAGCTTGTTTTTCTTTTGCTGGAATATTTTTAGAGTGGAAACGATCATCTTTACAACTATCATAGTACACATTTGATAAAGATATTTTGAAATATAACGATCATGTATTGACACAGGTGCTTCATATCGATTTTGCATGTTCTCTAACGAGTCAAGTTGGAAACTATTGTGCACCCTTAAGTATACAAAGATGGTAAAAAATGCTCTTCTATGTGGAAAGAGAACAGATGAATGTATTGCTCGAGAGATGTAAGCCATGATTGCATCGTTGACTTTGAATAAAACTACTTAAAATATTTTCCTTCAGCTGGAGAAGTTGACAGTCTTTTGGCTCTATAGTACACTTAGTGCGATCAAAATTTCATAAATTCACAAGTGGCTAGAATCTATCGTCGCGTCCATTCAAACTTTTGTAGCAGTTGAAAAATGCACAGCGTGTCTGTTTGCAACGACAATCGAGAAATTGATATTAATCGTCAATGTAGAACTTGTACAAAAGATTGTACCCCAAACTCATCATCTACAGTCTATTATGACGATCTACGTGTATGGTGCCCATCCCGAAAAGCCCGAACAATGGTTTAAGGAATTTCCTAAAGTAAATAACGACGGCTCAACTTTACAAAAGATCAGAGATCTATTATGAACGTTTCCTAGCACTATGAATTTATTCAAAATTAAGTATTTTAACAAGAAAGTCTAAGTTTCGAATGAATATATTCAGCAGTTCAATGTTCGTAGGATCTCGTGGTTCGATAATTGGGATACCTTGCGAAAATTTGACGATTAGTGTGCAATCTCTTTGAAGTATCTCTATCATTAACTGATATAGATATCAGAGATGGGATTAACGCGTGGTTTTTTAAAATTAAGCCGAACCAAATTGCAAGGAGCATCTTACACTGCCTCATTTAAAGGATCTTTTCGTACATTAAGGACATCCTGAATCAATAGAGAGAATTCTCTGCTTTGTGATTCTATGAAAACTCCAATGATTTCACTTCTATGATTACATAGAAATAGGTATAGTACGTATATCTATTGATCTGTTTAAGTGCATTATGGAAGATTATTCGTTTCAGTTAAATCTTATTTCTGAAGTATTTATCCTCATAGAATGAAAAGTATAAGTTAGATCTAAATAAATCGGCCTACGCTTTATTTGTAATAGTGCAAATTATTAAATTATCCATGTCAAAAGACGGTCGCAGACAAAACGTTTGAGAGCAATTTGATTTTCGACGTTTTCATAGGTTGGATTTATGGATAATGACACTGTTGCAGAGCACAATATAGTTATAGTAGAGTATGTACTTAAATGGTGTAGTGTCGATGTTTTTTTATATTGATGCAAAAGCCCACTTTATAGTTCCGACTTAATCAAGATGTTTCTTTTGAATATTCTTCAACAGAGACAATTTTACTACAAAAAAAAAGATATTTAATTCTAATGTTTTTGATGCCCATCACACAAGTAAAGACATTGAATATAAAATATATTCTTTTTAATGTCTTCAATAAACTCTCTTTCATGGTTCTAGTCTGAAATACTTTTACGGCATAGTTTTAGCTAGTAGACTAAAAAATATTGTCAATCACGTTATTTCATCTTGTTCAAACTGAACCCACCCCCACCCCAAATTTGATAAACATTGCTAAAAATTTAAGCACTTTGGTCAGTCATTTACAGGAATATCTTACGTCATTTGGATTTCTTCGATTGTAATAAGTTCTATTCGATGCTTTATGATCAAACTGAAACATTGATTTGAAAGTTAGATCGTTTATTGTGAAGAAAACAGAATTGAGAAATGAGAATTCAATGCAATAGAATCGTGGAAATTTTACGGGCTCAAGGAATGGAGAAACATTTGGTGGTGCTTTACAAAACTGCACGAGTATGTCAATGTTCATTTTCCAGCCTATTTTGATCGGTCAGATAAGAATCAGATTGCAGCCAACATATAATCTCAACAAAAACAGAATGAAACAGTTCTTTGAAAACAGATTATAAAATGATGTCGAGTTAACTTCTAGATTCTCATAATCCTTGTTTTCAATGAATTGATAAATCGGACTACCTAGCTACTCTTCCTTCTCGATAGGTCAAGAAAATGAACGAATCTTAGAGTACTTACTATTTGAATTTGAAACAGTCAAATAAAGTAAAAAGAAAAGAATTAATTTTTATATATAATGCGTGAGTATCTGTCAGATCAAAACCATCCTGTCCGAACTTGATGAAGTCATCGATCAATTCAAATTGGATCAAATCCGATGGCGATGGCAAGGACAAGCAAGCGAGTCGCTTCCAATCAGCATAATAAATACAATTAGAAATGGGCAAACATCGAGAGAGATCGATGGTGGTTTTCTTCACTTTCAACATCTCATCGATGTTCTCCTATGCATGGAAACAAAAACGAATGAGAGAATCGAATTTATCCAATATTGTCGCCAGTTATATAATGGAGATAAAGCAAAAATACGCATTATCGATCCTTTTGGAGAAACTTACAACAAAGAAGAAGCTCTAGTATGGTAAATAGTATACATTCACTGTTGTCTCAAACTACTAGATCTTTGCATTTAGATAGCTTCTCATTTCAGCTATGTTTATTCATGGAAACTGATTTTCAGACACCTGAATACTTAAGTTATCTTTTGGGATCGTAGCCAAATACTCTAAGAAAAACATTGTTTTTCATTTTTCAGAAAAAAAAGTTTCGTTACAATGATGTCAATTACTTCGTTTTTTGCCATTTTTTATTTCATGAGCGAAAGACAAGACCGGTACAGATCTAAACGCTGCTTCGAGAAAATTGTCTCAGAACATCGAGTGCGATTCCTACCCCTCCGAAAAATGAAAGTTAGTGATATTTTAACTGTGAAATACACACTTTGGTAGCGAATAGAACGGAGAATAATTTAGACGAGACAATGGACTTGATGACTGTAAGTTAGAGAAGACAACTTTACAGCACAGCAAGTATTTGTGAATGTATATGTTTTAGGTATACGAAAGAATGGCTGATTTACACAATGTTGAACACGGCTCTTCGCACACAAAATATCGAGCTAATCTTTCTCTTTGGATTTTTCATTCGAGATCTTGATGAAAACCTTCGACTGTTACTATCGACAAGTTTATCTCGATTAATTCTTTTTTCTCAACAAGCCTTCATCTGAACGTGACAATGATGTTTTGCGATGATTGCACTTCGCCTGATGATGGTCGCAAACGAGTTCTGCTTGAAATTGAAGTCGATTTTCATATTCTCGAAGCGAAACCTTTTGCCAACATTTTGTCGATTTCTCACTTTACTCAAGTATAAGAAATTTTATTCATGATCAATACTATTTTCAAAGTGAAGTCTTTAAACTCAGACAATCAACGAATAATCATTCATCGGCCTGTATGCAACGAAGCGATCAGAACGACGGTCAACTTGCACTAGGTGATGTTCTACTTGGCATGGATTAACTGGATGAAGCAGATCGATTCTACATATGAGTAATGAGTGAATTTCAACCAGGCGATATCTTCAATTATTATAATCATCGTGGAATGGTCGCAGCCGACAGAGGAAATTATAGGTTAAGCATTGAGTATTTTCAAAACGCACTCGCAAACGCCAATCCTGATGATCCTCCGAACATGGCCGGGACATGTAACAATATGGCCAATGCTTATGAACAACTAAATGAAATAACAAAAGCTCTCTTTCGCTTTAAAGAAGCTCTGATCATTTACAGAAGACTCTATAATCTCAATCATCATTTCAATGTTGCTAGATGTTTAAACAACATCGCAACTCTCTATGCAAACATGAACGAGTACCATGAAGCAATCAAGTACTTTGGCACTGCCCTGACAATCCAACAAAAAATCTGTCCTAACAATCATCAAGCTATTGCTCTATCCTATATGAATATTGGCAATGCATATGCCGATCTTGGTCAATGCGAGAAAGTCGTTGAGTATTATGATCGATCCCTGAAACTCTACCCAAACTCTGTTCCTCACGATCATCCTGATCTTTACCGACTATACTGTAACATGATTCGGATCTTTGAAGAAATGAACGATTATTCAAAGATTCTAGCAATATCAGAGAAGATTCTCTCATTTTATCTCGAAACTCTTTCATCAACCGATTCTCGAGTTCTCAATATCCAACAAAACATCGAACGAGCAAAGCAAAAAATTGAACTGTCATTGACAACCCACAAAACTTTGATCGCTGAATCGAATTAGATTCACCGTCACGACCGTCAGAGAAGATAAAACTGTGAAAGCAGAGTGAGATCGCTTGTTCTTCAAATGTCATTATTGACATGATGTTTTTCGAGCAATAAGGATTTTATTCTCTCAATCCAATACACTCGTGTTGAAAGTCTTATTTAATATCGAGAAATGCAAGTCCTTGTCACGACATTTCTACATGTCATAGTTACATGCTCACTTTTGAAAGCCTTTGATAATTTTTGAATTTTCGAAAACTCATCTAGATACACAGCAAAACAAATTAATATGTCTTAGGGCTATCATTTACCATTTAATTTAAAATAAATGTAAATCGACACCCCTAATACGTATATACACGTATTTTGTTAGTCAGAGCCTGACATCTGAGCACAGTTTAATGTATTGGTTACTTGTTTCTCTTCTCTGTTCTGTTTTCATTCTTTTATATGCGTAGTTGAGAAAAATGTGTTATTGGTAAAATTGTAATTTCTTATGCTTGGATTTGTATTTGTTCCTCGTTAGATATGAATAAGTCGAAATCGTGAGCTTGATTTAAGATCAAATGCATGAAAAGATAATCATAGCATCACCTTAACCATTTGATTTCTGTTTATAAACGTTCTCATACTGCTTTGTCCAATATTTCTGATTCTGAGTCATGCGCATGCATCATCATTTTTTTCTTTTCATTATTATGAAGCGATATGAATTGCATACTGTTGAAAATAGTATGACTATTGTAATAGAAATGGGAAAATTACCTTAGAAAGGATGCTCTACTGCTTCGATCAATTTTGTTTTCGATAGTGGCTGTCACTCAAAGTGGGAAAAAAATACAACGTAGGAAGAAATATTTTTCAGCTTGTTTCGTTTTTCTTTTATACTAAACGAAAGAGAACAAAAAATCGATGCAGGATTGTAGACCATGATTACCATATATTTGTAATTGCAAAGTGCACATTAGATCACGTAATTATCCATACTTTACTTCTTAATTCTAGATGACCTCTAGTATGAATCCCTTCGATCGTTTGCCTGATGAGCTGGTCGAACAGATTTTTCTCTCAATAAGTAACCTACCGTCTCTCACGAAAAATAACCACGTCAGTATCGTGCCAAACTCACTATACTTCGACTATTCGATTCAGCAACCTCTATTGCAACAAACTTATGCTAATCTTCTTTCCATCTCACTTGTCTGCCAACGTTTCCATCGTATTCTTAAATCATCGGATTTTTGGCAAGAAAAATGTCGTCACGATTTTGTCTTGCTGCCTACCCAGGTTTTTCCTTGCGAATTTACCGCCTATGAAAAACTCTACATCAACAATCCTTTTCATCCATCATACAATCTAATCATGGAGAATAAATGGAGAAAATCTTCTTACACGGATTCACGAATTGAATTCATTCCAGTTGGCAGCGACCGACTCTATGATGAATTCAATCGTCTATCATCCTGCCGTGTGACATCTTATACCTGGGGACAATTCTTCCAGCGAGATATTCAACTTCTTGGCGACAAACTATCGTGGCATGATGTAAGTTATCGATGAGATGTCAAAGATTCACACCATCGTTCGTACCTATTACAGAATCTAGGGGAATCTATGTTCTTACTTCGAACGCATAGAACAATTTTGTCGGGTTCTCTTAAAAGTTTTTTTCTAGTTGGTTTGTATAACGAGCATTCTAAATTTAAAAGCTTTGGAACAAGATTAAGGGGTGAGAAAGTATCCTCGCTCAATTTTCTTTACGTTCTAAGAAGTAGTAGGAGAGACTGAATGTGAAATATAATGATATAATTTTACTTCTAGCTTGCTTGTCTACATCCAATAATTGAATTCTCGATATGCGTGGCTCCACGATGGGATTGCGCTTCAGAATGTCGAGTCGGCCTCATTTTTTCTGATGGACACCATTGGGAATGCGAACGAACTTTTCCACAATGGAACGATAGCAAGTGGCACCGATTGACTTATCATTACAAGGAATATCAACAGTTTCCCACATCGGTGACTGTACAATTGTCTGGCAAAGATAGACAGTTCTGGGCAGGATACTACGGTGTGAAGTTCGCTCAAACTCGGCTTCGACTGCTCTTTCATATAGATGAAAACAAAACAAATCAAGAGAACGAAACAATCATAGAAGCGAAAGTCGAAGACGAACCTAGGCAAAATCCACAACCAGAAGATGCGCCCGACAACTTACCCGTAGATGAATATTTCACTCATCAAGATTCATCAACAGTCTACTCATCGTCTAACGATACCGACTCAGATGATGGTTGATCTCTCATTTTGTATTTACTTAGCGCAATGACTATATAATTATCATTTTCTTTTGCATGTTGCAATATAATGAACGACTATTACTCAAAAAATGCTAAAAATAATCGAATATTTTACAAGATATGCATTTGTTTTCGAGAAATCTATCGAGATGAAAATATTCCTGTTGTATGATCAGGTAGATGACACCAAAGAATTTGCTATCTGTATTCTTCTCAAAAACGATTTCGTTTCTGTGTCATTGCCAAGTCCTAAAGTTTCATACAGTTATTGTGCAAGAATATTAAATTTCATTTTTTTTCAAGAAAACTGTATGTGTGCTAGGTTTTTTCTTTGCAGAATACTGAGAATTTTTGGATATTCAAAAAGTTTGTATGGCATTATGCAGAAAGTCGAGAATGCTTTTTTGTGACTTTCAGAAAACTCTCTAAAATAACGTAATTCTGCGAACAAGAAAAACATTACTTTGAGATTCTTAGAAGTGGGTGCACTGCCAATGTTCATCACTTCGACTAGAATTTTTGTATCAAAAGGTACCTCGCTCACTATCTCTACAAATAAATATAAAAAATTTCAGTATAAACCCTGTCAGATACGCACATATTTAATTCTCGAAACATTATGCTTCGCCGCGCCTTAATAAAATGTTTGTACCTTTTTATCACATCATCTTTTTCATTATACATTGAAAAGTGTAAATAGAGACAAGAGTACAAAAAAATAAACGGCTTCACTAAGAACCTGAGCACATATACTAAACAATCATTGTTCAATCTTTAACAAAGGATGTTAAGGAAAATGGAAAAGCGAAGATTGATCGAACAAAAAAAAAATGGTTCAATGGACTTTAGGCTACCGATAATTAGTAGATTCCATTATTAGTCGGAAAGTTTATAAGAAGAAAACAATTTTTTTAATCAAAAATCTTAACTCTTGCTCTCAAAGACATAGATGAAACAACAGTAACGGCATTCATAGAATAGTATAACACAAAACGAATCATTAAAAAGAAATTCGTAATATAATTAGTATAAGTTCGATATTTACATTCAAGTTTTTGATCATGTTCACATTGCTAACAAGTTTTAACATTAATTTCTATTTAGAAAATCGTTTAAAATCTGATCTATGAACAATCTATTAATCTAATCATTTTTATATTAAATCGAATCTAGATCACAATAATATACATTATGATGAGAATATCTACTGCCTTTTTTCGTGTTGGTGTTCAATAATAAGTAGATGAAATATAGATAAAAGCTGGTTTTGTATTAATGGCCAATTATTGCTAAAATTATTTTTCCATATACTTTATTTTATGCAATAGCTGTTCATCCAGTCGGCTCTGCATTAGTTGAGAAGATAACGTTGAGCAACTTTAATATATCAATTATAAGCTTTGGCACCAATTATCCGGATATGTTACCTATTTCCACCGCACGAACATCTACAATATAAAAGTTTGTGACGAGGAAATTTTGAGAACTATAACTTAACTCAACTCCGCCTCGATTTCCCACTCCGTTTCGGCTTCTGATATGTATACACATGTACTTTCTTATAATGAAGAAAGATCGATTAATTCTTGTTTCACAATATTAAAGTCGTCAATATCAGTATATGACAGATTAATTGCCAAAAAAACACAAAAATCATCAATAATCATTCAAAACGGCGCAATTTTTGTTTTGGGAAAGTTTTATACTTAAAAATATTTGAATTAAAAAAATATACAATGATACATTTGTCTTTTATTTTTTATGCAAGAACACTCTATCGCACAGATATAGATTCGTTTGCCATCAAGTAAATTGCCATTTTAGTGACAAAGAAAATTTGTAATTGAATTTCAGTGCTCACAAAGTTACTTCAAACTTGATTCTTGATTCAATTGTTTCATATTGTAGGCTACAGAATTATTTTACCTTTAATATTAATACTGAAAATATAAACACATTGACTAGGAACCATTTATGCATGTAAGTCATGACTAAAAATAGTACGCAGATTGTGACATACAAGGTGATATGAGATTTTGATTTATTTGACTGTAGCATTGTAGATTATAAACGAATTTGTAATATATGTAGAATTTCAAAAGGGCTGACTTTCTCTCTCACAAACATTGACATATACGTATTATGACATAACCAATCATTTGAGCTTGTAATAGATTGTAACTTTTGTAAAGAGAATGTTTATGTACAAC